GGAAGCTTAGACAACTAAAATCACCATGCTCATACCAGGCTTAAACTAGGACAAGCAATTGTTGCATTGGTGTTGTTCTTCTCTCTTTTTTTTTTAAAGAAGGATTGTAATTTTATTTATTGTTTGTCTTGCCAACCCTCTGTTGGATATACTTTTTAATGCATTTTATCTCTGAATTTTTTTCCTTGTTTACAAATGACAATAATAAGTAAAAGTCCTGAAGTTATAGTATGTGGCTGAAGGTTATTAATGGCATGTGCGTAATTACCATATCATCAAATCAATAAATCAGTCAATTTTTTAAGTGCAATTAACATTACATCACTCATAAAAACAGTAGGATTATTTACCGAGTTTGTTTGGCAATATTCAAACCTAATATTTTAACTTGTCATCAACTACCATTCATGGTATTCAATAAGATTTATAATACAACGAAGATACCATGTTTTCATGTTAACCTGTTTATTAAGTAGTTATAATGAGTCTAATTATTTATCATCAAAAATTCACTTCTACGTCAAAACCTATTTAATTTGTATCGATTTCGTGTGTGTGTGTGTGTGTGTGTGAGATGATGTTTAGAATTAACAGCGGAGTTTGGTAACCTAACATTACAAGGCAGAGCTTCTTACACTTGAAAGCCGCCGGCACTTTCCAAAATTAAAAAAAAAAAAAAAAACACAGCCACCAGCACTTTCCTTCCAAATGTACCCAAAAAAAAATAATGAAAGCCGCCAGGAGCCCTCTTTGACGAGCAACATGCAAGTTCATGCAGCAAAACTTTTGGCACGTAAGTAGATCATGCTTAAATCGAATTTGAATTTATATTTATATTTTTAAATTCAAATTTTGAATATAGATAATTGAATAATTAACTCTGATCTCTATCTGATCTGAATAATATTATAATTTTGTGATGAAATTAATTAATTGTTTAATACAGTGTTGTTGAGAATTCCATATAATTTTTTAAAATTTCATTTGAGTTATCGGAATTAGATTTTTTTATTTTAATAAATTTGGATATGAATTTTAAAAATGAAATGCATCGGAGATTTAAATGCAAAGATTTANCCCATATCCCAAGTAACCAAAAAGGTCTTTAGTGGAAGTCCAGATTTCTTCCCGATTAAGCCCATGGACTATGGACGCTTTCTAGTGATCTTAGTAGGCACTGGCTCTGCAAAGGTGGAACAGAAATACAGTGCGAAAATGGCAGCCAAATGGGGTGTTTTTAGTTGGTTACTTCACGGCGNATTTTAATATGATCCAATCACATTGACAGAAATACTACGATTCATTGACTTTGACATTGTCAGAGATACTATGTCATGACGGCCTAATGAACTCGTTGTCGTAACACTTTTAAGCAAGTTTCCTGCAAGCAAGAAAAGTCTTGCTTTTTTCTAAACTTGGCGTTGAAAGTTATGCAGTCCAAGAAAGAGATTGNATCATCAAATCAATAAATCAGTCAATTTTTTAAGTACAATTAACATTACATCACTCATAAAAACAGTAGGATTATTTACCGAAGATTTATAACAGTAGGATAATTTTTTTAACTTGTCATCAACTACCATTCATGGTATTCAATAAGATTTATAATACAACGAAGATACCATGTTTTCATGTTAACCTATTTATTAAGTAGTTATAATGAGTCTAATTATTTATCATCAAAAATTCACTTCTACATNTCTATATTGGAACTAAGTGCGCTTTCAGTTTTTACATGACACTGATGATCTATTGAATGTAATGCCAGGAGGACTCCTTAATTGGGACAGACNAGCCTATAAATGGATCATTCTGCATCTAAATCAGCACCCTGCAACTTTCTCTCTCTTCTTGCTTTCCTCATCCACTACTCCCTCCACAGTGCACTCTCATTTTTGGTAGATTTTTTCTTTCCCAGTTTCCTATTCTATAGGTAATTGGATCTTTCATNAAAACTGGTCTTTCTGAACCAGTCAAAAATGGTGGCACAAATAAGGATGCTCTGAAAAGGTCTGGAGACAACCAATCAATTTTTTTGTCATTCGATTTGGTTTGGATGCCAAAAAATGGAGAGAAAGTGGACGATGGATGGTATTGAAGGGTTAATTTTTGAATTCACACCGCAAGTTTTGATTTAATCCAACAAAATTTCAATGATCGATCTTAACATTTTAAGATTTATATCAACTTTTTTAAATGGTGACTAGACCCTCATTAGATTATAACTTATCTTTATAGAGTCACAACTTTTGGAATGATATCGGATGCCCCAGTTGTTCTCAAAATTTGTTAATGTATTATTAATCAGTCNGACTGAGCCTATAAAGCGATATCAACGAATTGCTCGATCTCGACTTGTCTATGAAACGAAAGAAGCTCTCATAACACAACAGAATAGGTATATAAATGCAATTAACTCATGACAAACCAAATATAGTACAACTTATACACATGGGTTCACAAATCACAACTGATTTCCTTTCGGTCAGTAGTATGTGTTTTAATAGGGAGAAATTTTTTTTGACATAGGAGCTGGATGGGGAGGAGGCAAGACTTGCAGATTACTTCGACGTGATTGCCGGAACAAGCACCGGTGGTCTTGTGACAGCCATGTTAACTGCACCCGATGAAAACAACCGTCCTCTCTATGCAGCCAAAGACATCAAACCTTTTTACCTAGAGCACGGTCCCAAGATTTTCCCACAGAAAAGGTATGAATATCTTAAGCTAATGATTCATTTTCTTTAGCTCTTGATCATGTAATTAAGTAGTAACCATATCTTTGTGGTTTGAATGTCAGTGGCTTGTTTAAATCCATTGGAAAAACGTTAAAAACATTAAGAGGACCCAAATATGATGGGAAGTATCTTCATGGGCTTGTAAGGGAGAAGCTGGGAGATATCCGATTAAGTCGTACACTCGCCAATGTTGTCATTCCAACTTTTGATATCAAAGACTTGCAGCCAACCATTTTCTCCACTTATCAGGTCTCTCTCTCTCTCTCTCTCTC